AAGTTAATGTGAGTTTCTTCCTGTTTATTCCTTATTAACTTTTTACTCTTCTGAACACTATGTTGACTAGCAATTAATATTATTTCTCCACTCGTTACCTTATCTACAACTCATATACTTCTATGCTTTTCCACCTACTTTGGTAAACAACTATCCTACATTATGCCCCTCATATAGCCTATACTCCGATTGGCCACATATACCTCATACTATAGTCAATTAATGCATTGCATCGAAGCCCTACACACAGTCCATAATTTGTAACTGCATGATAAGCTTGTAGAACGGTACTTATAGAAATAGTGTTTTCCAACAGGATGTGAAACACAAAGGATTGTGTGAGGTATGATATATATAAAACATAAGCTTAAATGAGCCTAACATCACAAAAGGAGGGAGCATGGAGTTACTGACCAGCAATCATTGATGGTGAGGGCGATGACTTCAATCCACCCGTGTTTCTGGAGCAGAATATTTTGTTTGTATCAGGCTCTTTACGGTTGAGAAACGAGTCAATCAATCTGTGATGTTGAGGTTGTTCTACTACGCCCAACATCCAGACTCATGTTTCCAATTTTATGTTGGATTAGCTATTCTACTAAGACAACCTATAACATGCTTACTCGGACTTTTACGCTAGGATTGTGTGGCTGGCATCGGATGGACAAAAAAGAAAAGAAAGAAGAAATTGGACAACAAAAGATATAATTGTTAGTATTCTTAACACTTCACCCTCTTTGTCCACACTCTCTTCTAATAAACCGCTTTCCTCGTGCCAACCTTGACTTCTTTTCCCTCATGTGAGCTCACTCCAACTTGTTAAACATCACAACTCATTGTTCTTTATTACTACATTCTCTTATATGGAGCCTCTGACTTCATTCCACTCTAAAAATTGATAATATGAATTTAATCTTATTTATCATACCTCTGTTTGTTCTACTACACAATGTTAAGCAACGTTTGGCATTAATATCCAAGTGCTTTGCTGCTCTTCTGTTTCTCTTTTTTTACTTCAGGATCTTGCTCTGAGGGTACAGCTATGGAACTTCTGACGTCTGGAACAAACTTGACGTACGTGTCTCCTCAAGGTCGTAGTTTACAGCAAGCGCTCTACGAGTCTACTTTATAAAAACTATAAATCTAATAAGTTGGGAAGCATGCTGTGAGCCAACAAGTGTTGTAATGTGTAAATCATGCCTGTAAAGATGGCGTGTACATGCTCATGCGGAAATATGTTAGTATTATATATAGCATATTGGATTTATGTTTAAGAGGAAGTTACAGGAGTGCATAATTACGTCTCTATCACTTTTCGCATAAAACATAATTTTTAAAGTCCAGCTAACACTCTGGACTATGAATAATAACTTATGGCTGAATGCACTGAAAATATCAATTTACTGAATAAGTATAAAATTTATGGACGGTAGATATAGAAATGTGTGGCATTCGTACGAACTGATCATTCTTTTGTACTTGATTGCCCGCTTATTTCGAATTCAAAATACAATACGTTCGTTTGAGTTCACCTAGTTCTGTCTGGCTTATATTGTAATAATGCACGTGGACAACTGCGGACACTCATTCGATTGGAAAAATGTGGAAATCTTAGTCAGTGGAAACTCCAAAAACACCAGGGAATTTTTAGAAGCCTGGCACTCAGGTCAATCAGCAATCAACAAGCATATTGAAATCAATCCAATTTACCGACCAATCAGAAAAATCATGCACAAATATAGGGACAAAAATCAAACCAATGGGAGACACAACCAAAACAAAGAAGTAAACAATGACAAATTTACGGTCAATAAGAACCAATCAACATCGAGGTGCACAGAACAAGCTGTGAAACGTATATGAAGAAATTCAAACACTTCACTTCTACCTGAAGTTTGTGCTGATGATGTCGTTCAGAAGAACGATGAAAGCTCCACGACCAAACCATCCAGCTCAGAGAACAAAACTCCACCAAAATCATCTACCTGAGCTACAAATCTTCTCCACTATATTGTACTGTCCCGAGAATTCCTAGTAAATACAACAAATCGAATAATTCTAATCATCGTACTAGATTAAGGGAAGTAAACATTAAATCGCTTAGAGAATATACAAGGGACAACTGCCCTCATAATTAAAGAGTTGCATGACTTATCATTTAACCCTTGCACTTTATGTGATAGATGAACAAGAAGTATTGCATACGATAATGAGAAATGATTTTGGACCTAATCTATCCTCTTACTTTATTCCAACTCGATCAAGACAATAGAGAAAAAAACATTAGGTAAATCCCAAAGTAAAACGAATGAACCAAAAGTAAACCGAATTTTCTTTCCTGTTCATGAAGAAACAATATTTAGGATAAAAACACAAAGGATTACCTTCTACATCACATGGAGAATTACAAACAAAATTATATAAGATTGATGCTAATTATTTGTTTATGTTCAATTGTTAAGTGTAAAGTTTACAGTGGAATTAAAACAACATATATCTACATTAAAATAAAAGTAAATTATACTAAATGCAAAACATTTTATACATTTGTGGGCATATAAATATATATATATATATATATATATATATTATATCATTTGGAACTTTCTATATGTCCGTTAAAGGATCGTCAATTGATGTGTATGCAGGTAAACTTCATTGTATTAGCTATACAAGTTCTATAAACATAATCAATTGTGAACAAGAGACGTAATTTGTAAAATATAACAAACAAACAATTATTTAATACTACTAATAATAGTAGTAATAACCAGTTGTCAACCAGTATATACGTAGCAAAAAAGAAAACTACCAAGAAAAGGTTTACAATAACAAACAATTAGGTCAAAGAAAGGAAGTAATAATTGGAAATGAAGCAATACCAATGACCATATTAGATAAAATAGTAAAAGGAAAAAGATGAATGTCCAAAGTTGATGTTGTTGAAGTATAATAATAATAATAATAATAATAATAATAATAATAATAATAATAATAATAATAGTAATAGTAATAATAATAATTGTAAACGATTATTGAATGTAAACGTATTGGGAAATAGATATATTAACTTGATATAATTATTTACATGACGATTACACTGTGAGCAGTGAAACACCCGTTAGCAAATATCGCAATGTATAATTATGCTGGATTATGTAATAATTCATACAATTTATTCATAGTTGATAATCTATTGAAGAAAAAAGAAAACAAGTTTGTAGAAATAAATAGGGTTATATAATACATTCGATTTACGATATTTATAGATTTGAAGTTTAGAATTAATGAAAAAAGATGAAGTTGAGATACAGTTGTAGGTGGTACTGTTTGTGGATTGATATCGATTACTTAGTTACTTACGCCTATTTCTCCTCGTGGAGGAGAATAGGCCGCTCACCAGCATTCTCCATCCAATCCTGTCCTGGGTAATCTTTTCCAGCTCTTTCCAGTTGTTATTCATCCCTTTCATATCTGCTTCTATTTCCCGACGTAATGTGTTCTTTGGCCTTTCTTTTTTCTGCTTCCCTTAAGGATTCCAAGTTAGGGCTTGCTTCGTGATGCAGTTTGGTGATTTGTGTAACGTATGTTCTATCCACTTCCAGCATCTTTTCCTAATTTCCTCTTCAAATGGAAATTGGTTTGCTCTCTCCCACAGAAGGCTGTTGTTGATTCTAACCGGTCAATGGATGATGAGTATCTTGCGTAGACAGCTATTTTTAAATACTTGCACCTTCTTGATGATGGATGTATTAGTTCTACAAGTTATTGACATCAATTAATGTACCATTAAAGACCAATTAGCGGTGTACAGTTATTTAATACCATCATGTGGTTTTTTTGGGATGAGAACCCATCACTAGACCAAGTAATCTTTCTGTGAACCCATATTTTTTCATGAACTATGCGAAGTGAGGACTATTGTATTCCAACTCAGGGGTCAAAAGAAAATGCGTTAGTCTCTAGGATTGAACATAGTAGTTTTGACCCCCTGACAATATGACTCATGAATCTGAACTATTGAAAAATTTATATAAAAAGATGAAATGGCTGTCTAACATTTACCAGTTTTCAATAGTACTGTGATGTATGCTACTTATGTCTGTTGACATAAGTAGTATGTAACACCAGTTAAAAGTTGAATGCCTGTCAAATGAAAGTTGAGGAGATTGCATTGAAGAAAACAGAAAGGTAAGCACGAAAGAATCAAGAAATGGAAGAATCATAAAGGATATAAAGGATAACTGATGGAATATTTACAAATATAGTATTTAATATATGGTTTTTACATTTTATCAAAAAACCTCTGTAATTATGAATTAAACAATATACTGGTTTACCATACCTGAGTATTCGGTCACTACAATACCTCAACTGATATTAGTCCACTATATATATAATGCATACGTTAGAAATCGTAAAAATGCATTAACCAAGATTAATTACATTGTGATCTTACCTTTTTATAGTTTAATAACTTTTCAAAATAAAGTGACCAATAAATTATTATTCATGTACATATTATCCAAGTATGATTATTTAATTAAATTCACTTCGTATTTCTTTAGAAACTAATAAGCTTACTCAAATGGATTCAGTTCAAAAGGTCTAGGTGTTCATTTCACAAGAATCCAACTATGCTAAAGGTATTATTTATCGTAACTTGTTGTAAAGCTGAAGAGTTACTTAAATTTGGCAAGTGCAAAAGCAAATCATAAAAATTATGTCAGATTTGAAGAATGTATTTATTTAATTTGGATTTAAGTTTCTCTATTAATTGTAAAGTAAATGAGGTAAACTAAAATATGTGACGACTGCAATACAGTAGTTATTTCTTATCTCTTTAAAGCAGTTACCAGAATCAAAGATGAAAGTCATTCAAAAGTTACACTTCACAGGAAAATTCTAAAAGTTAAAGATTCTAAACTCACTGATGAAAGCTTAAGGTCAGAGAGTAATGAAAATGAGAAGACAATCAAAAACTGAGATCTGTGGTGTTTGAATGAACTAATGATACTTTTGTATTTGTTGAATGCTTGGTTTCGAATTCTAAATAAAGTACATTCGTTTGTGGTTATCTAGTACTTCTTGATCCGACTACGTTATTTCTGGGATTCTTAGTTTATTCTATAATTCAAATACTTCTGATTATCACAGATCACAAAATATTGAATGCCATTCTTAAAACGAAAAAATGTAAATTTTCAAAATTTTCCAAAAAGCCAACTGAGTGATACTTACACTTTGTGATCAATAAAAGTTTATTCATGAATGGGTCGTAGACTGATTGATTTCGTTAGTATCAACATCGTAACTATCATTTTGTGATTCCGTTTCTTCTATGTCGAAATCACGTACTATCAAAGTTTTCTGAGGTACATTTGTACAACTAGAATCTGGTATTTGATTACTGTTACAATTTAATGATATGGTAGATACTCCTATCATAGTCTGTTCATCAGTTGCACAAACTACTGATGATGCACTGGATTGTAATGACGATGATGATGATGACGAACGTGTCATTTTAGAATCATTTAATTCCAAAGGCTTTGGTTCTACTGCCTCAGATGATTGTGCAGGAGGCACTGAGTTTGATGGTTCCGGATGAATGAATGGTCTAGGAATATTGATAGTTGATAAAACTGGAGAATTAGAATCAGTATGTATGCTGAAGACCGAAGAGCCTTGTAATTGGTTACTTTGATTTGATAAACGACTCATAATGCTTTGACGTAAAGAACCAAATCGACTACGAAGCCAGTTGAAAAAGGCAGGTGGTGGATCACCTTGTGGTTTCGGAAATGGTTCTATCCATGAGACTGTTGATGAGTTCACAAACTGATCAGAATCAAGCTGTGAAGATTGTCGAGGTTGTTGTGTACATGGTTTAACAGGAGTTAAGTTTTTAAACGAGGTCTGATATTTACTTAATCTAGGATATTTATCAAAATCTTCATAGGCTGGAGGTGCTTCATCAATAACCCTAAATGAAAGAAATGCAAAAGGTATAAATGCACTATGAATTTTCAAACAAACTTAAGACCATCCTATAAAAATACACGATGTAGATAAGCTTAATCATCGAACAGAATAAATTATCTCGAACTTAACAGGTATATAAGTTGCATAGTAAATTAACAGAACTATGGTTATGTGTGGCGAGTATCAAACAACACGAATCCTAGTTCATGTGGAGTTTCCTGCTGATTATTTACAACCCGTAAACATTGGAAAGAAGTGTAAACTTAGTGAAAACTAGAAAGTTTACATGGGAAAATTCTTTCATAATTCTAACAAGAAAATGTATAAGAAAGAAACCATAATGTAGGAGTAAAATGTCACAAAACTTGGATCCTTATTATGAATACACTGTTCTATACCCATTTAGATTGTATTATGAGCCAACAATAAGTAAGTTCTGTAATTTTATATTAAAATAACTTCTCATTATAGTTAGCTTAAACAATTAATTCCTTTGATAAATTTAGATAATGCAATAAGCAGATGAAGGTTATCAGATATATTTTCAATATATTCGTGAAATACATTTCAGTCAATCAATCAGTCAGCTGCAACGTAAAACCAAGCATATATATGCATCGCTCCAAGTTGCAACACCTCATTAGCAAAACGAGGTGAACACCAAATTCATAGAAGTAGTCACTTCAACGGTAGTAATGTATATAAGAAAGATTGTGTATAAGGATATAGTACATGAAGAAAGAATTAGTTCGTAGAAAGTAAGATATAAAGCCATTTTAATCCCACGGTTTAAGGGAAGACAAAGAGTATATACATCGACGCGATTATGATCGATTCTGAGACATGTCACCCGAAGTCACTAAACACTGGTTACGGTAGTCTGCATCTACCAATATGGTTCAGACTAGAAGTTAGTGACTTCAAGGATTGATGCCACATTTCAGTTTGGCCGTCCCTAACTTTCTTTCAACCGTCTCTAACATCAAATAGCATTGTGGGTCGTGGTAATCGGTGTTCAAGCATACGTAACACGTGACCCAGCCATCTCAGTTGATGAAGATTTACAACCTTCATATCCATATGCTTGTTAAGACGTCTTATATGAAAAAAATCGAATGTTAACTAGACAAATTGGAATATAAAAGGAAATAAAGATAACAATATACTACACAATGTGAAAGCCAATCTAGATAAAAAGTTCGTATCACCATGCTGGATTGAATGCTAGGACAAACTGCTTTTGAATATATAAAGGGTATTTCAGTTTTTGTGAGGTCAAGGCTTCAATAAGCTTTTGTATACAACTTTTAACAATTCTATATTACACAAAGAAGGTTGAATTCATATCAACACTATAACCCATCTCAACCAAATATTTTTCAATGAAGGAAGATATTTGTTTACTCTGTGATTTTATCAAATCAAATGAGTTCATTTGTTTGTGCAACCATTTAGGTATATGTTCAAACACCCCTACTTGAAGATCACGATTCCTCCTCCATGTATAAGCGTTTCAGCACTTATACATAAAGTGACAAACACAATAAGATTTCCGTAGTTGAAATCATAAGTCATTTGAAGCTAAACTACCATGGAAAGCCTGGAAACACTGGACAGCCGTTCCATCCTAGTATGGGACTCCTCAACAGTGGGCATTTACGATCCCCCCTGCAGGATTCGAACCAAGGACAATAAGATTTGACACAATCGTTTACATTCTTTAAAACCCCCATTATATGCGCTTAATCGTAATTATTCTAATTCTATCAATTCCATAGTATGTTCAATGACTTGTAATAAAAAAAATTAACTAATTAGTTTGATCATGAATTTGATCTCTAAATCATAAACTATCTACCATTGTTTATATGTACAATAGAAAACTCAACCGGACTCGTTCTATATTCAGTTTCATTAAGCTGAAACGATTCATTATAATATTTAAAACGGATCCAAAAAATAAACCGAAAATTCATTTTATTAACGAACAGTTACTTAAGAAACTAAAAACGTTTCCGATGGTACATTGTTTAGTATATTCAACTACTTTTTAAATTATAGAATATATAAATTATTATAGGGTGTGTCATTTAAGTCATTCTCCTAAGGATATATTTCCTTTTCCTATTGTCATAGTAATTTCTCTTAAGAAAATATAAACAAATACTTTGCATTTCATTTTGTATTGTTTGTTTGAATCTTCTCATAGATATATTTAGGACTGCAATTGGAATATGTACATCTTATGCAGATTGTCTTGATATTATCATAAGTCATAAGTATTATAAGCAAAGATAGATAACGGATAGCAATAGAATCCAAGATTCACGTTTCGTCCTATTCGAGACTCGTCAGCTAGATGTTTATTACAGGACGCGATAGCGTTTGAGGCGAGCTTTATTAGGTTCGAGTCCCAGGGTGAATATGAAACGCTGTGCTGAAGGTACATTCCGCTGACAAGTTCCAACATAGGATGAAACGTGCTTCTAGTCACCATTCATATTCGCTTAAAGTGCTTTTCTATCTTATAAAGTGAAAATTTATATCTGAATGTTATTACGGTGTATGATTGAATACAAAGATGAATAGAATGTTTATTGTTGTGTATAACACCCTAATTAGCATTATATATATTTTAAAAAAAATGTAATCCAGTTACCAACATCAGTCAAGCAAACAATAATGACATGCTCGCTAGTAACTGATCTCCAGATAAATTCCTAAATTCCTTGTGAGAAGCTACGATTAGTTAAATCATTTCGGATCATCGTCCAATATTACAGTTTTACTGACATTAAAAATACAAATATGTATATGAGCATCATAAACTCCATGAAAAATTAAGCAGTAAAGAAAAGTAGTCATAATTGAATAAATTTCATTCACCTGAAGCATATAGCAACTATCCTACAATCAATTTCGATCAGGGTTAATTTTGGTCAATCCCTTTATGTGAACTTAACAGATAATGTGTTATTTCAACAGTAACAATTCGCATATTCCTTTGTACCGTTATGATCACTAGATCATATGACAGACTCTAGCTGAAATGTTGATTGCTTCGTTCTCCTTCCCATGTATATATGTACTCAAATCTTATTATGAGTTCTTGCTTTGCCTTGCTGAACCCTTATACAATTTGACTATAAATTTGCCTATGTAGTTGTTCATACATACTTATTCGCCTCTCCACTTCAAATACGTTCGATATGTTCATAGCTTTGTAATCTGCGCTATCTGTTAATAAACTGTAGTTGGCGCTTCTCATTGCCTTCTGATTTTAATCAACATTGAGATTGATATTATAATGGTTATCGAGGTGATTGAATAACTGTTGGGATTTATTTCTGGACTATTACTATACGTATATTTTTATCGTATAATTGTTATGTAACTAAACTATTCATATTCATGTTCCTCTTATTATGAGCTTTATTTTGACCTATGAATTAATATTATACGATTTACCATTCTTGAGTTATGCCTTGTCTATCAAATGCTATCTCCCTCATTCACGGCCAGATTTGGCTAAATCTTGTACAAATGTTGTTTCTTACTTTATGGTACAATGTGGTCTGTTTGGTTGGTATATAAACCCAGTATGTTTGAAATAAATGATTCACATCGCAGAGGCTGAGATTGATGTGCTGGACTTAACAGGCAGGGTTAGGCAGGAACCAGGACCGATAAGTACTGTAGAATGCTCCCATGGGTTTTATGCGTCATTGGTCCGGTCGTTAATTCACTGCTCTCTAGTTGGTGGTATCATCAAGTTATACATTAACAGGGCACACAGGCCACAAGTTATAACAATCTGTAACGAATAGTATCTGGAAATTAAGAAACCATCTACACAAAACCCTTTTGTCAACAATATAAACTTTCTATACACTTAGACTGTATGGATATTTGGGACCGATAACTATCGTTTTGTTTAGGTTTAAATTTCTTGTTACTGTTCTGTTAGTGTTCTCAATTGTCTAGATAAAATCAATAGTTCATTAAAATTATTTGATCATATTTCGAATTATACATCTAGTGTATGATTTAAAATGAATATTTGACGGGATAAGTGTATAACAGTTATCATTTATATCATTGCTTGATCATCGAGATATATAGTGAATTGAATGACATTGCAGTGTTTAACTATTGGTCTAACACTTTTAACTTAAGATAGGACTTAATGATTGTTGATTCAACCTTATTCTATGTAGTTATCAGTATACACATGAAATAGAATTAAACTGTTATCTACTACATTCATGTTTTTAGTTGTCAATTAGCTAATCTCTACTTATGAAAAATAATTTCTAAAAACGAAATGATTTCTGTAAACTATCAAACTGAACAATAACAGATTTGTATCAGAAGGGATATTTGAGGATACTATAGTAATTTCCATGGTTGAATTCATGGGTCAATTGAAGCTAGACCATCATGAAAAACCTGGGAGCACTGTATGGCCGTTTCGTCCTAGTATGAGGCTCCTCAGTAGTGAGCATCCACGATCTCGCCTCGCGGGTTTCGAACCCAGGACCTATCGGTCTCGCGCGCGAACACTTGACCTATAGACCACTGAGCCGATATTTCATATGATTTACAGTCTGACAGAACTAAATAAAGTAACGAAATTACGAAAAAAGGACACCTTATGCTACTGAAGAAGAAGAAAGACAATTCATTGACTATTTACTAAAGATGTGTAATCATAGTTATAACCTGTTTGTATGAATAAGTCTACAAGGAAAGAATATGACACACGAAACTGTGAATCTATTAAAAGGATAGGAGAAGAAATACAAGCATTGATTGTGTAGAATCAAGTATTAAGACAAAACAAAAGCACAAACTTCTACCTAAAGTTTGTGCTGATAATGTCGTTCAGAAGAACGAAGAAAGCTCCATAAATAAACCATCCAGGTTTGAGAACAATATTTCATCAAAATTATCCACCTGAGCTACAAATCTTGTCCACCATCTCATAAAATATTAATAGTC